ATAAAGCTTTTGAAAATAAATAGAAGAATATCTTCTTGATCCCAGGGTAGGGAAGGATCTCTTAAACAAAGCACAAAAAGCATGAACTAATGGAAAAGATTGATAAAGTTGACCTTCTTAAAATTAGGAACTTCTGTTTATCTAAAGACAAGATAAAGAAAGTGAAAAGATAATATTTGTGTGCTCTGTGTTCAGGAAACCAGGATGAGCAGATCTGGCTGAGACTGGAATGCATGGAAAGATAAGGCTGGAAAGAGTGGTAGGAGCCAAGCCAGGAATACCAGGTTCCCACCACTTGCTGGGCAGGCAAGGGTTAGAATCATCCTGACTTTACGGGACTTCTTTTCATGTTCCCTAAATTGAGGTATGTTAGTGTCTACAGGAGAAAATCCTGATTAAGACTCATATCTATTCTTTGCCTCCCCTTCAGGAAATCATATTTAATATCTACCCTCCATTCTTCCTGCTGCAGGGTCAGTTCTGTTTGCTGTTCCAAAAGCCAAGCTCCTCTCTTTTCTCTCCCACCTACTGAGTACATACTGTGTTCTGGCATTCTGTATGAGTCATCTCATTTATCCTCATAGGATGGTCTAATAGTTAAGACAGCATGTTTTGGAGTCCAACTCACCTGGGTTTGAGTCCCAGCCCTGTCCTTTACTAATTAAGTGTCTTTGAGCAGGTCTGTTCACTGTTCTGTGCCTCTGTGTCCTCATCTGTAAAAAAGGAATAATGTCTGTTTCTTCATACTTTTCAAAGGGCACTAGTGCAAATAAAACACATGTACTCTGCTGACTTAATACAGTGCCTAGCACACTGTAAGCTCCCAATACATGTTACTGATATTATTCCATGTCCTAAGGGGGAGGTGATCTCTTCAGGGCCCACACTCCATTGTTATCTGAGTTGGGTCTGGTTGGTTAAACTGCCTCTCTTCAGTGGCTCACAGGGGAGGGAGGGGGCCGGTCCTCTGAAGTCCAGCTGGGCACACTGCCAGTCCCTGGCTCAGCCCGGCTCCTGGCAGGGCCTCTCCTCACCCACTGGGGCTACACCGGCCCCCGCTCAGCTTCCTGTCTCCCTTATCTTCCTCTGGCATGTGCTCTCTGAAGTGGGAAATGCCACCACTTGCTTCCTTCACTTCCCTTTGCTCAATAGGAACCTCATTCTTTAGGCCTCAGTCAAATCCCAGCTGCTGGCCCTGTGCCCACTCTACTCTGTGGTTTTCTGCCCCTCAGCCACTCAGACCAGATGCAGCATAGGCTCTGGCTCCAACCACAGATTTCTTTTCTCTTCCCCACTCCCAATTCTGGGTTTAGAAGGGGAAAAGGGGACACCTTTCAAGCTGTCCCACTCAGCAGCTTCCCTGCCCCCAGTACTCTCTTCGCTTTCCCTGTACCCAACCCCATACCCCCATCCTCTTTGAATTCAAATGTCTGCTCTGCACTTCCAAGCTGTGTGACCTTGGGCAAGTTACTTAGCTTTTCTAGGCTTTAATCATCTCATCTGTACCATAGAGACAATGAGGCTAGTGCTATCGGCCCCAGAGGAAGTGATAAATATAAAGCCCCAGCATATAGTATAAATTTTTGGCATGTTTTATATATAACATAAATATTCAAGCATGTTGGAAGTATGTGTTCAAAAATGTATTGATGGAGAGTAATCCCCAAAAATCTTTGAGATACTATGTGGTGGTTAAATTCACAAACTTTGGCATCAGAGAGACGTGGGTTTAAATTATAGCTTTTGCTATGTGACCTTAGGTAAGTCACTTACCCTCTCAGAGCCTCAGTTTCTTTATTAGTAAAATGATGTTAATGAAACCCACCGTGTAGGACTGGCAGATGGATAAAGTGAGATTATTTATGTAAAGAGCTTAACACTGTTCCTAGCCATGATAAATGCTACCCATAATAATAATTGTTGTCTCTGCTATTTAATTTTCAGGGCACTGGTGTGTCAAGAGGGTGCTTGAGAAATAGCTGTTGCTGTTGCCACCTCTGTCCATGACAGATCTTAGCTGGGTGGGAAAGATCTCTCTTTAATCAGCTCTGTGGATGGTGGTGTGGACCCACTTTAACCCCAGTGACCCAGGCCCTTCCTGCTTAGATTGAGGACCAACAGCACTCAATTCCAAATTGGGGGCCGGCCCGTGGCTTAGCGGTTAGGTGCGCGCGCTACGCTGCTGGCGGCCTGGGTTCGGATCCCGGGCGCGCACCCGCACACCGCTTCTCTGGCCATGCTGAGGCTGTGTCCCACATGCAGCGGCTAGAAGGATGTGCAGCTGTGATGTACAACTATCTAGTGGGGCTTTGGGGGGGAAAAATTAAATTAAAAAAAAAATTCCAAATTGGTTCAATTATATACATTATTATCCTCCATCCCAAAGCACCCTTCAAGCCCTCAATGAAGAAAAAAGGCAAAGCAAAAAGATGCACAAACTCACTAGGAATTAGACAAAGCAAAGTAAAACCAAAATGAAGTGCCATTTTACACCCGACCATCTGAGAATGCCAAGGGTTGGCAAGGATGTGGAGCGAGGGAACTCCCACACACTGCTGGGAATGTAGATTGGCCCAATCTTTTTGTAACACAGTTTGGCAATATCTAGTAAAATTGAAGATTTATGTACCCTATGACTCAGCAATTCCACTCCCAGGTTGGCACCTACAAAACTCTCCCACATATGCACAAGAAAACGTATACGAGAACGTTCATACCAGCACTGTTTGTAATTGCGAAAAACTGGGAAAAAAACTTTAATGTCTAACAACAGGAGAATGGATAAATAAATTGTGGTATATTCATAAGATGGCATATTACTAAGCTTCAGAAATTAATGGACCTACACATAGCAGCATGGATGAATCTTAATATGTTAGGTGAAAAAAGCAAGTTACAGAGGACTATGTGCACTTCAATACCATTTATATAAAGCTCAAAATATCACTTTAATGCTTAAGGATATATGTATATATAGTATAAGTATACATAAATGTAAGGAAATGAAAATAGCAAATTCCGATTAGTGGTTACTTTGGGGGTCCAGGCAGTGGGGGAGAGAGACACAATTGGGGAGAAGTACACCAGGGGCTTCAATTATATAGATAATATTTTATTTCTTATGCTGGGTGGTGGGGACATGTATGTTTGTAATAGAATTCTTCAGGCGTGAAATAATTCTTCAAATATGAAATATTTCATAATAATCTTTTATAAAAGGCAAGACAATATAATTGGCAGTGACTTAAGTCCTTCTACTTTTCCTGCGTCCCAGTCCAGGGAAACAAGGCCCCCATTCTTCTTCCAACTAGACCATTTTGGTGAGCTGGAAAAAGACTTTGATGTAACTTCTTATCTAGCTTGCAACAACTGAGAGGTGAGCATGGACACTCTTGCATATATTCAGTTAAGAGAACGGGAACCTCGAAGGTATCCAGGGTTTGGCCCAATTCCACTGTGACATCAGCTCTCCCTCCAAGGAACAGTATATAGGATAAAAAATTAAAATCCCCCCTCAGCCCTTTACCAATCCCATTCCCCAGAGGTAATCTCTATTGACAGTACCCTTCCAGGCATTTTTCCTCTGTGTATACAGATACTACCCAGATACACACATAAAACTTTTTTTCAATATGAGAATGGAATTATATATGCATTCCTTGGACCGAAGTAAAATTTTAAATTAAAAATAGATGGAATTATACTACATGTATTGCTCCATACTTTCTTTTTTCACTTGTCAATGTCTCATGTCAATATATCAGCTCATAATGATCTGCCACTCTCTTCTATCATAGTATTACATAAACTTTTATTTTTAATTCAACAAGAAATATATGATCACATATAGATGTAAAAATTTCAAACAATACACATAGACTGATAAAATCCTTCACAAAATAGAGTGATAAAGCTTTTCACAAGGTTGCCACCCCTAACACACCACAGACACACACACACACAAACACACACACACTTATATACACTCTTAATCTGAGGTCTCTCCCTGGAGATAAACCACTGCTGTATTTGATGTACATCCTTCCAGATTCTTTTACTCCCATAAAGAAATAGGTTGTTTAGTTGTTGTGTGTGTGCTTGATACATAAATGGTTCTAAGTGTACATAACGTTCTGCAGCTTACTCTTGGAGAGCTACGCACATTGTAACTATCTCATTCAGTCATCCATTTAGCTGATATTTATTATTTATTTATTATGATATTATTTATTATGTGTGCTATTCTAGGCACAGTAGCAAACAAGACGGACAGCCTCTATCCTCATGGAGCTTACATTGTGGTGGGACATTCAGACAATAAACATGTAAATGAATAAGTAATATAATTTCAGGTAGTAATATGATGAAAATAGAGTGGGGATTAGGCAGGGGAGGGTTTTTTTTAACTGCATAGTGTTCTTCAGTACGGATTATCATAGTTCAGGGGATTGACTTTCAAGTTTTTCTACTTGCTTCCTAGAGTAAAAATAAGTTTTACACTGCTATCCAAACCCACAATAGAAACATAAATGCACAAAACCGAAACACGCACGTAGACAACTGAACAAATATTTTATGAAATAATGCTCACCTTTACTAAGGGTGATACACTGAAAATTTTTATTCTGTTCTGTTTCATTAAAAAACCAAACCTGCTAGTCACGACCTGCTAAATTGTTTTCGTTGTCCACTAATAGATTGTGACCTCAGTTTGAAAAATATTGCTTTGAGTAACTAATCCTCTACTGAGATTTAGATTGTTCCTAATTCTCTCCTATTACAAACAATGCTGCAGTGAGCTGCTTTATACTCATTTTGGTACTATTTCTGAGAATAAGATCCCTGATTGTGTAATTACTATTTACTTAAAATTCTGATAAAAGCATGCTGGAAACTGAATTCTAATCTCAGATCTGTCACCACATGACGTATAAACTTTGGGCAAGTCTCTGCACCTCTCTGGGTCTCAGTTTCTCCATCAGTAATCTGCTAATTATTGATACTCTACACTCTAGAGTCTGCTCTAAGTTTAAAGCAAACGCCCCACCCCCTGACTCAGCGAGGGCAGGACTTTTCTCCAAGCCCTTCTCCCCCTTTTCCGCTCCCTGTTCCTCCGAAGTGGCCCAGGGAAAAGGGAGAAGGCAGGTCTGGGCAGGAGAGCTCAATGCAGGGCGGGGCAGAGGGAGGGCAGAGAGAGGCCAGCCCCCTAGTAGGAAATGAGACACTGTAGGAATAACACTTTATAAGCCTGACGCCCTCTTCCTCCTCCTATCCCCTGGCCACCTTCCAGCCTCCTCCGTTCAGCCTCCTCCCCTCCCAGACAGTCCTCATTTCTTTTTCCCATAGGCTGCAGCCAGCCGGAGCCTCCAGTCTGCCAGAGCCGGGAGCCCAGGTGGGGTCAAGAACTTCAGCCCCAGGATGTTGACAACATTGCTGTCTCTGCTGCCTGTACTGCTCCTGTCCGGCTGGGCCCTTTGTAGCCAGGAAGCCTCAGATGGTGAGTTGACGGCACCTCTCCTGCCTCAGGGTGGTTCTGGAGACTCTCAGCCTATTTGGGTACATGGGCAAGACCAGAGGAGACCCTACCCCACAGTGTCTGTGTCTGAGGCTGACTGGATCTTTCTCTAGGGCAGGCAAGGTCCTGGGGGCTGGTTTGTGTGCCAAAGCCAAAGCAAGGAAGAATGGGGGAGATGGAGGAGGCTGGGGACAGGCGAGGGGGAACAGGACTGGAAAAATGGGAAACGGACAGATAGAAAGGATTAGGGAACTAGCCTTGGGGAGAGGGGAGAGATGGAGTGAAGTCTGGGAAGGGAGAGCTGAGGGTGATAGTGGATGGAGGTAAGTCTAGGAAAGATGGGAGGAGACTCAGAGATGAGATGACAGATGCAAGGAATGGGAAGACACTGGAAGACTTGAGGAAAGACTAAGGCTAAGATATGTGAGGCAGAAGAGGAGACCAGAGAAGGTGGAGGCAGATTGGGGGCAGCTGGTGAGGTGAAACTTGGGAGAAAGAGAAGCTGTGCTCAATGGGAGAATTCGGGGGGTGGTGGTCAGGCTGCCTGAAGTGGCTCCATTTAAGCAGAGAAGGGGTGTTATTGTCCGGCATTGTAACTGCCCGGGGGCCTTCTCTCCCCTCTCCCACGATCTCTATAGCTTCAGTCTCACCCTCAGAGAGGGAGCAAATAATAACCAGTATTCAGTGAGCGCTCAGTATGGCTAATACACGTATTGACTAAGTTAACCTCCACAAAATCTCTACAAAGTGGATATATTATTATCTCCATTTTACAGAGGAGGAGACTGGGGCGCAGAGCAGTTAAAAACTTTGTCTACGGTTGGGCCGACCCCGTGGCTTAGCGGTTAAGTGCACGCGCTCCGCTGCTGGTGGCCCGGGTTCGGATCCCAGACGTGCACCAACGCACCGCTTCTCGGGCCATGCTGAGGCCACGTCCCACATACAGCAACTAGAAAGATGTGCAACTATGACATACAACTATCTGCTGGGCTTTGGGGAAAAAAAAGGAGGAGGGTTGGCGATGGATGTTAGCTCAGGGCTGATCTTCCTCACAAAAAAAAAACAAAAAAACAAAACAAAACTTTGTCTACAGTTAACCACACAGATATACTTATTCACACCTGCAGACACAGAGCACAATTTCCCCAATGAGGACATGGACAAGACACATTCGCACACACAGATTTACAACCCCAGACTCATCCCCTCCTCAAACATTTTCTGGGCACCAACTCTGTGCCAGGCCCTTACTGGGTGTAAGAGGCAGAGATAACCGGACATGATTCTATAGCCTAAAGGAGCCCAGTGTAGCCTGTGTGTTTGGAGACAGTTACGTAGAATCTGGGGTCTTTGAAACAGATCCACAGTGTCTGGGAGGGTAAAGAGGAGAGGCATCAGGAAAACTTCTCCAAGGAGAAGGCAACTAAGCTGGGTCTTGAAGCATGAATAGAAGTTTGCCAGGAGGCAAAGCAACCCTGACATGCTATTCACGTGTCAGCCAAAAGGCAGCATGAGGAACTCCAAGTAGTTTGATATATTTAAGCACGGGAAAGAGGCTGGAAAAGACAGCTGGGTCCCAGTCTCCAGCAGCCTTGAATGCTGGGCTAAAGACTTTGGACCTGATTCTGTGGACATATATCCTATGGGGAGGCAGTATAGCTGAGTAGCTAAGAGTGCTGGACTCGGACTGCTTGCATTCAAACCTTGGCTCTAGTATATCATTTGAGCCTGTTTCCCATATAGACTGGGGTTAATAATAGTAGCTACTGCATTAAGCTAATGGGAGGAAGGTACAAATAAGATAATGTGTGTAAAGTACAGTGCCCAGGTCATAATAAGCACTGTATAGCTATTAGCTATTATTATTACTATTATTATTATTATTGACAGGGGAGTGTGTACTAGAGGATTTTAAACAGGAGAAGGACACAATCTTATTTCTGGGTCAGGTGGAGCTCAGATTAGAAGGTGTGAAATTGAAAAATGAGGGCAGGGGGATGAGGAAGGAAGTTACTACCCCAGTCCAGATGAGAACCTATGAGGCCTGAAATAGGGATGTGGCAGAGCAGACAGGAAACAGGAGATGCAATTGGAATTTTACTGTAGGTCAAGATTTGTTGACCATCTGGAAATAAGGGGAGGAAGGGTGAGAGAGAGAAAGAAAACTGGAGTGGCTCTTCCACTGACTGGATTACCCTGAGCCAAGTGGCTTCTGCTCTTCCGGACTCAGTTTCCTCATCTGTAAAACGAAAATAATAATCCCTGTCTTGCTATCCTGGCAGGGCTACTGTGAGCATCAAACGGGAGGAAGTGTGGGAGGACACTTTATAGTTTACGAAGGGCCGAGAAGCTGGGCAGCTGGCCTCTGGCTAGCGGGTTATTATCTCTGGCTACACGCCGACCCCTCCCACGCCGGCCAGGGCCCAACGCGCTGACTCCTGCCCCCAGGCCCTCGGAACCTCCACATGTTCCAGATCTCCTACTTCCGCGAGTCTGATCAAGTGTGGCACCGGGGCAACGCGTCGCTGGGGGGGCTTCTGACGCACGTGCTGCAAGGCCAGGACACCAACGTCACGATCCGCCAGCTGGAGCCCCTGCAGGACCCCGAGAGCTGGGCGATCACGGAGAGCCACCTGAAGCTGTACCTGAACCAGTTCTCCGGCTTCGTGCAGCTGGTGCACAAGGAGCGGGGCGTGGCCTGTGAGTTGAGCGGGAGCTGGGAGCGGTGGGAGGCGTGGCCTGGGGGCGAGACTTGACAGGGGCGGGCCTGTGGGAGACCGAGGTCGGGGAGGGCACCATGGCGTGGGGCACCGTGGGCGTGGTCTTGTGTGAGCTGGCTGCTCTGGGGAGCCCAGTGGCACTAGGACCTCTTTCTTTGCTGATTGCTGGGTGGGAGCTTGAGGCCGGAGAGGAGTGGGTGTCCTAGCTGACGGGCCCTCCGTCAGGCCATCTTCCTGCTGGCATGACCTCGGGGTAGACCCTTTCGGAAGGCCTTATCTCTGATTCTCCCTGAACCCTGAAAATTCACTTCCCCCTGTTGGACATCCCCCCACACCTGGCGCCTTCTCCACACAGCCCCCTGACTCTGAATCCCCCATTCACAGTTCCTCTGACCATTCGCTGCTTCCTGGGCTGTGAACTGCCTTCTGACGGCTCTCAAGCCCGTGTCTTCTTCAAAGTGGCTGTGAATGGGAGCTCCTTTGTGAGTTTCCAGCCAGAGACAGCCTTGTGGGTGGCAGGGCCCCAGGCACACTCCAAAGTGGTCACCTACACCCTGCAAAAGCTCAACGACAACAATCGTACTCGGTATGAACTGCTGGAATTCCTGCAGGACACCTGCGTGCAGTATGTGCAGGAACACATCATCGCAAAAAACGTGAAAGGTATGATGGGATGGGGGAGGGGCCTGTGTGTTGGGCGGGTTCCAAGCAAATGGACGGATACCTTGAGCAATAGGAGGCCCAGGGCTAGGGGTTTGGGTCAGAGTACACACAGCTTAAGTCAGTTGGTGAACTAGTTTCCTTCCTTTGGGGCAGAAATTCCTTGAGGTTTGACAAACCATGGACTTCTTGGGGGTATGTTCTTCAGGCTAACTCGTTGCATGTTCTACAGGGAGCCAAGCAGGCCGCTCCTACGCTTCGCTGATCCTAGGCGTCCTGGTGGGCAGTCTCATCATCGCTGGTGTGGCTGTAGGCATCTTCCTGTGCACAGGTGGACGGCGGTGTTAATTACTCTCCAGCCCCCTCTGGGAACGTGCTGGACTGTTGGGGGCTGGCAAGGGAAGATCGCAGGTCGCTGCAAAACCAAACAGATTCCCCATCTGGGACATTATATACCAGAAGATTTGGAGTGGCAGCTCCTTTCTTCTCCCAGGTCTGTCCACCAAGAGTTTGGGGGAAGGGAGGTGAGGAGGCTAGAGAGACAGAGTACTTGGTTTGCTAGGAACCTGAGAACTTGCACGCTTTGCTGAATTGGTCTGAGAAGTGAATGCTTGTCTATCTTTGTGGAAAACAGATGGTAGAGTTGGGGCAGGGGCGTCTACGGCCCATCCTCCAAAGACAGAATCACCTGAGGCATTCAAAACATATAACCAAATAAAACAAGTCATCCACAACCAAAATAAACAACATTCAGTGCTTCCAGGTGTGTCAGACTTGGGACGGGACACTGGCAAATTAGAGGCAGAAAGGAATAACCAGAGAAATGATGGAAGTGTAAAATCCAAGTAATATGGGACCAAGGAGTTATTAATTAATCGATTAGTTAATAATATTAATAAATTCCTTATTTCCATATAAAGCATTATTATTTCCTCTACTTTGCAAAACTTCTGGAAAAGTAGCCTATACCCTTCGTTTCTCATCTCCCACTCACTCTTCAACCCACTGCAGTCTGACTTCTCTAGAAACTGCTCTAAGATCATCAGTGACCACTAATTGTGAAACCTTCATCTTCCATGATATCTGCAACATTTCACTTTGTGGACTAGAACTCTCTTTTTACCCCAACTTCTGATATAACATACTTCTAATTTTTAGAAACTGTTCTGGCCACTCAGTCAATCCCTTTGCCTATGTCTTCTTACTCAATTCACCTTGGAAATGTTGGCTTCCTTCGAATTCCATTTTTTGGCTTCTTTTGTTCTCCTTTAAACTATACCCTTTCTGGGTGACCTACTAACTTCCATGGCTTCAAATACCGTCTATCTGTGGTGGTTTCCACGGGGAAGCAATATAATCTTGTCTTTAAAAGCATGTATTTTGTCATCAGACATACTCAAGTTTTACTTCTTTGAGCCAGGCATTTAACTTCTTCAAGTCTCAGTTTCTTCATAAACAAAATCTATAATAAAATATACAAAAAGGGTATAATAAAAACAATATCTACCTCAGAGAGGCATTATAAGTATTAAATAAGATAATATATATAAGATAATGTACGTATACTCAATAAATATAGCACTTGCTGCTAATCTCCAGACCACTCATTTGCAATGATTTTTGTAAATCATCTCTATCTTAATATTTTGCAGACATTTCAGAGTCAACATGTTCAAAATTAAATTCCTTATCTTTCTCCCCAGACCTGTTCTCTCTCTTGTGTTGTTTACTATCAGTTAAACAGAATTACCATCAAATCATATCAATATAGAGACCTCAGTGTTAACCTTTATTTACTCCCTCTTTATCCCCATCTACAAAATACAATATCTATAGCATCCATTCCCTCCTTTCCACTCCATTGCTTTTGCTCAAGATATCATAATTCATCTATTTCTCCGTGGAAGGCATGGAGGTGTGCCACCCAGTTCCACCTTCAAGGAAAGATTTGCTGTTCAGCTGCAGGGAGTATAGCCAGCAGATAACCTCTAGCTGCTTCAGTTCCTTCGGTGTCTGCCTCACCTGCAGAGAACAGTCCTGCACAAGGTCCCAGCTCATCCTGGGCTGTCCTCATCCAGTGACTGAGCAAAGCAAGGGTATAAAGGTTCGCCATTCTGGCCCACTGCAGGACAATTCTGATGAGTAGTATTCACTCCAGAGCTCTTTGCCAGGTTGGCTGGGTCTTTGTCAGATCTACATTACAGTTTTCCTTCTCCCTCTATTCAATCCTTCTTCCTCCTACCAGTTAATATCTTGCACTTCAAACTCTGTCTCAGCATCTACTTCCAGAAAACCCACCCTGTGACTGACAATCTCTCTCTCTGTCTCCAAATTGAGAGCTTTTCTCAATCTTTTGTCTGGACCATGGCAATAGCCTGCTCCTATTCTCCTGGCCTCTAATTTCTCTGAGTTCTAATTAATCCTCTACATGGCAATAAAAACACAATGATGTCATTGTTCTGTTTTTTAAATTTCCCATCTTATTGAGCTAAATTCAGAATCCTCAAAATGCCAGAATACAACAACAATAGTAACACAGAAGTTTACAAAGAGAAAAGTGAAAGTCCCCTGCTTTCTCCTGCTCTCTAAACCCTTACCCCAAAGATTTGCCAAGATTCTTAGTTGCAAGGAACAGAAACCAATTTTGCCAATTTAAGGGGGAAATAAATATATTAGAAGGTTATCCAATAATCCTCAGAGTTGATGAGAAAGCCAGTTAATCAAGCTCAGAAAATAGATCCAGGGATCACAGCCAAAGTCAACACAGGAATGGTCGAGTTAAGGATACCACAGCTGGAATCACTACCTCCATCACCACTGCATGCTGCCATCTTAAATGAACTGTACTCTCTCTCCTGTGTCTTTATTTGTTCAAGATTCAAAGTCCTGGTAGGAGAATCCAAAATATCAACCCTAGATCATTTGCCTTTGCCTTACCTGCAAGGAGGGAAAAAGGAAAACTTTAGGTATCTTTGGCTTCTCTTGTGGGAGGTAGGACCTTGTCTCCCATTAAGATTACACAGAGGAAGAGGTTTCAGATGTTGAGAAACCAAAAAGAAAAACAAACTCTAAATATTCACTCTATCTCTTACTATCAATTTATTTACTCGTTCAGTAAGCATTTAGCAGTAACTTCTATATACAAGCTATTATGCCATGCACTTTGGAAGATACAAAATGATTAAAACATGATCCTCCTCGAGGAGCTCATTATTTACTTGGGAAGATAAAACATATACAAATAAGAATAACACAAGACAGGATATCCTAAAAACTGGAAAAAGCATATAAATAAAAATGCTATGTTGTGATTTACCATTGTAGCTATCATTTACATATTGCTTTATAGTTTTTTGAATTCTTTAACTTGCACTTATCATTTAATGCTCACTGAGATCTTCTAAGATAGGAGTTCTCATCTTAGATTAGGAAACATGCTTAGTGAAGATAGTAAACAAAATAAAATAAGTAAATAAAGTAAGTGGCAAAGCCAGGATTCAAACCCATGACTTTGTGTTCTAGAATTTATGCTTTTTCTCCTCTACTAAAACTAAGGGAATCAGAGGAATCTGGGGGGTGGAAAGTGGGATTTGTTGATGGGTAAGATATGTCCATGCACAGAAAGGAAACATAGAACAGCTTAAATAACGGCATAGAGTTAGGAAACAGCAGAGTAAATTTTAGGAAGGATAGCTAGCCCCATGTGATTAGAGAATAGAGGAATGGTGGAAAATGAGACTGGAAAGGTAGGCTGGGGTTTCATTGTATTGGTCCTCTAGAGCCTGGTGAAGGAGTATGTTCTTTAGGTGGTAAAATACCTGGGGAATTATTGAAGGTTGGTAGACAGAAAGCTGCTGAAGTCTTCTTTCCCACTTCAGTTGCATTGTAAAAATGCGGCTTCAGATAGGTTGAGACCCACTGACCTCAAGCTTAAGGACTTGGCCTGGACACTGTCCAAATCAAGGACAGACTAGGCCTTATCCCAGGTTAGGGAGCAAAAGGAAAGAAGAGGATGGGAAGAAGCCAGTCTGGAGAAGAGTGAAATCTTGGAGTGTGAGCCAGATGTACTCAGGCTCTGAGATGTTATATTACCCACTTTCATCAATGCTGCCACCGTAGTAGTTCAGGCCCTCACCAGCTCTAACCTGGACTACTAGAATCAGGTCTTACTCACTTTTGGCCCCTCAAAAAGCTGCCATCAGAATGCTCTTTCTAAAACAAGCCAGTCTTCTGCTCAGAATTCTTTAAGTCTTCCACTGTCCATAGGACAAAATCCAAACTCCTTAGTACGGAGTTCAAGACCCTCCACAATCCAGCACCAGCCTATCTTTTCTCTAGCTTCATCTTCAACCCCTCTATCTTCATCTATTTGGGCTGCTATAACAAAAATAATATAGACTGGGTGGCTTAAAAGACAAACAATGATTTCTCAGAGTTTTGGAGGCTGGGAATTCCAAGATCAAGGTGCTGGCATATTTAGTGTTTGGTGAGCGCCTGCTTCTTGGTTAATAGATGGCCCTCTTCTCAGTGTCCTCGCATGGCGGAAGGCGGGAGGGAGCTCTCTGGGGTCTCTTTTATAAGAGTCCTAATCCCATTCATGAGTGCTCTACCCTCATGACCTGATCACCTCCCAAAGGCCCCACTTCCAAATACCATCACACTGCAGATTAGGTTTCAACACATGAATTGGTGGGCGTTGGGGGGGGGGGGACAAACATTCAATCTGTAATACCTTCCACCTCTCTCATCCTACCTTCCAGCCCCTCCAAACCACTCTTGTTTTCTCAAAATACCCTGTGCTTCCTGGTTATGCCATTTCACGTCATATGCTTTTCTCTCCTTGGCAAACTCCTATTCATCTTTTGAAAGCTCAAATGTTATCTCCTTTGTGAAGCCATCTGTGATTCTCCTATACATAGTTATTTATTCTCTCCTCTGTGCTCCCAAAGCATGTTTCACAGTCCTTATTAGAACATTGTCACCCTGTAGTGTAATAATCTCTGTCTTCTATTCTGGAACATGAGCTCTCCAAAAGGTAAAAATTGTATCACCTAACCCAGGACTGGTACAAAGTAGCTGCTCAATATAATTGGAATGAATTAATACTCTCGGCATTGCCTGGGCATCCTCCTTCTTATGCTAAGTTCAGTAGTAGGTATTCGACAAATATGTTTGACAAAATGAATTAATATTTGAATGAATGAATGTGGCCTGAATTGTAGTTTTAATTCTGCCATCATCTAGCTGTGTGATTTTGTATAATCATTTCACCTCACTGATTCTGTTTTCTCATCTATAAAATGAGAATAGGAATCTATGGCCTGCTTACTTTATATTGCTGTTATAAGGATAACATAAGACAATGCAT